GATCTGTTTTTATTGTCATCCTGGCAATTTTCAAATGGTGCCTTATTCTCATGTTCATAAATATAGATAATAGAATCAGTTAAATACTAAATTCCTACCATGGTGTATTTTAAACATGAATTTTTGAGGCTAGCAATTCTTTTGTTACAGGAAAATCCTTCCTGACCAGAGCAAGATAGAATATAAATGTCATCCTGGGGCACAAGGGGGGCTCAGTGGGTTAAGCCTCTGTCTTCGGCTCAGGTCGTGATCTCAGGTTCTTGGAATGAAGCCCCATGTTGGGCTCTCTGCTTAGCATCAAGCCTGCTTCCCCCTCTCTCTCTGCCTGCCTCTCTGTCTACTTGTGATCTCTCTCTCTGTCAAATAAATAAAATCTTTAAAATAAAATAAAAAAAAGAATGTAAATGTCATCCTAAATGAAAGAGATGGCTGGTTTTTTCGTACTATATTTCCAAATAATCAGATTGAATAATCCATAATAGTAGGACTTAGAATATACAGTATAAAGATTTTAATAAAAATCATATTGATTATACATAATGCATGTAAGTGGGACAATGAACATAAATTGTTAGCACATAATGAATGTCAGCAATTACTTTGATTGAGGACCAGAAAAAAAGATGAATATATACCAAAAAAAGGTGTTTATGATTAGCTAACAACCCTTTATGGATCCATTTTACAAATATTTCTAAGTATATAATGAGTTTGAATGCTGACCATAGGTGAAATGGGATTCTTGTCTATAATGTAATGATGAATGGACTTAATACTGTTTTGAGGTGTGTGTATGTCTGTGTGTTTCAGCTTCTGTAAGAATTTCTTTGGTAAATTTTTGCAAATATAATTTTAAAGCAATCTAATATATAAACTAATAAAAACAACTCTTTAGGTGAAAGGGGGAAAGGAATGTCATTGCTCTGAAATATAACTAACCACTTAACTAGAAGATCTGTAATGTTTAATTCCACTTTAAAAACTATAATTCTTTAATAATGTTTTGAGTTGGAATTTACTGTCTTAATGAATTTTAATTGTATAACTTTTATGTGGTTTGAAGTTATGGAAATGTAGGAGAATTCAGAATATAGGAGTGATTGCCGAGAACTATGGTCTATATAGTATAGTGGTTAAGAGTACAATCCCTGAAGTTACAGCTTGTAGATTTTCCCAGTATCGCTATTTATTAGCTGTATGATCCATAGAAAGATGTTAATCTCCCCATGTTTTAGAATTTTCATCTGTAAAATGGTGACACAGATAGACTTGTCATTGAATAATGATTGGGATAGGATAAGGATAAGCCTATCCTATCATCATTGGATGGTAAGATTAAGTGAGAAAATAAATATGAAATGCTTAACATATAATGAGTTTCAATTACTGTTTTGATTATAGATCCAAATGATGAATATTTACAGGAAAAAATGCATTTGGTTGGATAGGAGCTCTGGTAAAGAGTTCAGCTTACTAATATAATTTTCCTCTGTGTTCTTTCAAGTTAATTATATCAATATAAAATAGACTGAAGTAAAGATTATAATTTTCATGTTAATACCATAATTTCTATTGTAATTTCTATTTCCATTGTACTTTCTCCCATTTTGTTTGATTTTTGTGATGACATGTTTACAACTTTTTATTAGTGGAGTGAAGAACATTGTAGTTCCTGTAGTCATCATACCCTGGGGGTGGTGGTGGTGTTGTGAAAAACAGTAAAATATGGTGACCCAAACGGATTGATTATAATGTGTTTACATACAAAAAGATGATTATGTTTACTTCTTAAAAATTGCCATATTCTTATTTATAATTCAAAAAGAAAACTTGTTTGTGTTGGTGGAAAAAAAAGCTTTAACTGTAACATATTGTTAGGAAGCTAAAGTTTTAGAATTTTTGTTAAGAGACCATTTCAGTTTCTTGCTTTGTTTTTAACTTAGAAGTTGGATGGAACATGAATTTTAGAAAAGTGCCTTCTTTGGCAAAATTCATTTCACAGATAGCTGACTAGCAAGCCTTTAAAGGAACAAAGGTTTATTCCATTTTAATTAGGCCTCCAAAACTTTCAGGCTCTTGAAGTTTATAACTAAGGTCTCATATTTGCCAAAGTGGGCAAGAAACTTTTGAGAACAAATTTTATGATATATTACAGCTTCAATTTTAGTTAAGCTCAGCAGGAAACCAACTTTTCTTACAGCGTGCCAACATTTTAGTTTTTTCTTTTTCGCCCTACTCAGAAAGTGGTTTAATAAAGAGAATTTGTATTAAAATTATAAAAAGCAGGAAATTTGTCTTAAATCAACAGGTTGAGATGAGTGTCTACTAAATATGGAATGAAAATTATATAGTAATTAAAATTATTCCACTCATTGCAACAATAGTAAAACATGGGAAGTATCTTTTGGGAACTAATAAAAAGGAATCCAGTTTTTTCAACTTCAAATGTTTTTATAGCATCATTGTTTGTATGTATTATTGTTTATTTCAGAGAGAGATCCAGATTTATAATTTTGAGGGCCTCTATAAAAAAAGGGAATATAAAATCCAAATAAAATACTAGGTTGTGGGAAAAAAATACTAGGTAGTGGATCTTTGAAAGGAATAAAGTGAATGTCATATTCTTCTTGTTCTATATGCAGGTTGGAAATGACTCTTTAAGATACTTAGAATTTAATTGTTAAATTGAAATAGAAAATAACTCATCATTTAATATTAATGGTAATAAATACAAAAATACCATATAAGTAAAGTTTTTATTTTGTCTTTAATTTTGGGGTGATATTTTATCAAGGTCTAGACTTCAAGATTTCCAGTTTTCCCTTAGCATATTAATCAAAGCTTTCCATGTTTTCTGGATTCCATTGTTTATGTCGCATACTCAGCTGTCAGTTTTACTGTTTTTCCTTTGACAATCATGTGTCCTTTTTTTCTTTCTGGTTGTTTTTAAGATTTTCTTACCATCTTTTTATTACCATTTTCTTACCATCTTTACCATTTTCTTACCATCTTTTATTTTCAACACTTTGGCTGCTGGTGTTGTTTTATTTTACTTTTTCTGGTGTGGGGTTGGTTATACTCCCTGAATCAGTGAATTAGTGCAATGAATCAGTTTTGGAATATTCTCAGGTGTTCTGAAAATACTGCTTTTGCCCCATTCTCTCCTCAACTACAGTTACATTGAGCTGTTTGATTCCCATGTTTCTTCTGCTCTGTTCTTTTCACTTATTTTTTTTCTGCTTCAGTTTGGATGTTTTCTGTTGATCTCTTAGAGATCACAAATCCTATGTTTTGGTGTTTACTCAGCTACAAAACTGATCCACCGGTTTCTTAATTTCAGATACTGTATTTTTCAATTCTAAAATTACTATTTGATTCTTTTTCATAGCTTTTAATTCTTTGCTGAAATTTCCCTTCTTTCATCTACTGTGAACATTTTTCTGTATCTTCAACTTATGTTAAATAAATTTTTTGAAAGTTTAAATTTTCATAAAGTTCTTGTCTTCTGATTCTGTATCATCTGTGGGTCAGTACCTATCTATGCATATACACGTGTGTGTGTGTGTGTGTGTGTGTGTGTGTATATATAGATGTATATATATACATCTATATATACACACACACACACATATTTATATATAAATATGGAATTTTTCTCTTGCTTATTGGTCACATTTTGGGTCCTTTTCTATACTTTGTAGTAATTTTTGTCATATACCAAATACTATTTATTGTAGGATCAAAGAAATTGATATAAATGTTATTAAATGTTAACTGCCAACTCTTTAATTCAACTTCAAATTGAACTAGGCAGTTAGAGTGAAAGCTTTAGATATCCTTAGTCTACATCTGGTCTTAAATGTCTTTATGGGTAAAACTTGTGTCGCAGATACTTCTGATGTGACTTTGTTTTTAGGTACTGTGAAATTGTGAGAAGTTTTTCTATACCTTTTTAGTTTTGCCCCCTTTTACCCACCCCTCCTGCCCCCCTTTGCTTTTGGTTGAGAGCGGATTTTTTTTAGGGACGATCTCCTGAAGTTATACACTGAAAGTGGTAGGCTCTGCCTGTTGTCATGTGACTTTGACTTCTAATCACCATAGCTCTATAGAAAACATTATTTGCCCTCTGCCCATTTTTTCTTTCTCATTCCAAACTCTCTTGTGCTGTCCTAGCCCTCAGCAGATCTTCCAGCAAAAAAAAATGGCTTTCATAGGATTTCATAAAATTTCTTAGAGTTCTATAGGATTTCAGTGTGTCATGCCAGCCTGTGAACCATCAAGAACTATGCTGGTTTTTCTTTTCTCTAGTAGTGTCCCTCTTTCTGACTCATAGCTTAAGTGGCAAATTCTCCCGGAAAAGAGAACAATAGGAGGCTCGGCTTACCTTAGAACAGATAGCACTTTTTCCTAGTTTATTCTTATTAAGTCACATTGCTGTCTAATATCTTTTAAATATAATTTGGGGGGTGCCTGGGTGGCTCAGTGGGTTAAAGCCTCTGCCTTCAGCTCAGGTCATGGTCTCAGGGTCCTAGGATCGAGCCCCACATTGGGCTCACTGCTCAGCAGGGAGCCTGCTTCCTCCTCTCTCTCTGCCTGCCTCTCTGCCTACTTGAGATCTCTCTCTGTCAAATAAATAAATAAAATCTTTTAAAAATATATATATAATTTGGGGGGGTCAACTTGTCTTTTTTTGTTTCTAGTAGTGACTTGCCACTATGTGCTGGTAGTTTAGTCTTATAAAAGTAAAAACAAAATTTAGACCCATGTGTTTACTCTTTTATATGTTGCATATATGTAAAGGTGGTATACTTAGATTATTGGCTTGTTATTGAATATTAATATTTGTTGCTAAATCTATTAGGCCCAGAAATTAACACTGATCTTTGGAAAAATCCTATCCAGAGATCAGTTTTAATTTAAAATTCCATTTTGTTGGTAGTAACTGAAATAAAATGCAAGTAAAAATTAATTTTCTTTTTTTCTCCCCCTTTCATGTTTAGTGAGTGATAGTTGCTTCAGGAATCTTGCAGAAGATCGCAGTGGGATAAATCTCAAAGATCTCGTACAAGATCCTTCTTTGTGAGTATATGGTTTTCAGTACTAAGCATTATTTTGATAAGTGTGACATTTTCAAAAGATTTGTAACTGAGAACTAATTTAACATTGAGTAACTTTTTCTTTTCTTACAATTTGTGTTATGTATAATGAAGGACATTCAACAGTTTCAATAGAAATGATGGTATAGAATAGATTATTTTTAGAAATAGAAGAGATTTAGATTAAGATAAGATTAAGAGATAGCATTATGACTAATGATCAACTCTTAAGGAGTCTTTACTAATAGCTGATGATATCTTGCCAGTGTGGCAGTAGATACTGGGTAGAGAAGATGATGAGTAATTCATTTGCTGGGAAAGGTTCAATTAAATTTGTTCACGTCAATTTTAAGCTTTTTGATAACTTATAATATTTATAAGTACAATTATAAATATAAAATAATTATAATATACTTGAATATTTAGGATACATTTGATATTTTACATTAGAAAGTTTTATAAGCAAAAATTTTTGAAAAGTTTCATGGGACTCAATTTTTCATATTCTTAATAATGTCACTTTCTATTTTTATTTTATGAATTAATTTCTTATAATTTAATATTTACTATAAATTATGCATCCTATCTTCTATATGAACATACCCTCATGGTAAGATCACTTTTATTAAAAAAAAAAAAATCAAGAATAGTTAAGCTTTAGGCAGCAGAAAAAAGAAAATGGAGTGCTGGCAGGTGCTTTCTTAAAGAGGTATGTAATGCATTCAGTAAAATATAACAGGAAATCAGTCTTTCACATCATATATAATGTACACTCCCACACATTTTACTAGTAATTCATTGAGTATTTTACAAGGAATAAAACACAAGGATGTGTTGAATCTGAAGGATATTGATTCTTTAATGAATTCCCAGTCATTTAAAAAAAATGTAGTCACAAGATACAGAATCTTGAAAATAACTGAAGCTTAAAGTTTCTAATATAATGAATTTAGAAATGAACTTGTAAACTCAGTTCTCCCAATTTTTTTTATTAATCTGGTTCTCTTTTCCTCACTCAAAAGGAATGTCAATATTCTTTCTCTGTGATCTTTATTCTACTGAAAATTAACAGTTGTCCTTTCATTCCTATAAATATTTAATCAAGAATATAACTTTTTTAACTTGATATAAATGTTCCCATTAAATTAATGTCAAATAACATTTATTTGCATGAAGAATTCTGTTTCCCTTATAGATATAAGAGGAAACTTTATAATTGTTTTTGAAAGATTTCATCCATTTGAATGAATAACATAAGTTATTCCATTATTGTATGATTTGAAGGTATATTTTTGGTCCAACAGTATTATTTATCTGTATTATGTAGTTTTTGTGGAAAAAATGTGCTCATCTGGACATTAATGTTATAAAAGCTATGGAGAATTATACTTGAATAATTGATTATAACAATGAGTTACAGTGTTTTGAGAGAATTTGGTACTTTTTCCCAGAATATAGAATAATATTCATTATGCAACCTAGCAGTAAATTTTAAATTTAATCTTAATATTTGAAAGAAAACTTCCCTGAGATCACTACTGTATGGGTTGGAGAAAATTCCGAGTCTCTGTTTTGGAATACCAGATATCTTACTTTAGCATCATTCTCTTAACTTGGCATTAGTCTTGAATATAAGAATTTAGTGAGAATTTGTTTTTGCCTTTACCACTTTGAAAGAACTTTTTTTATTAAGAGTTGTCAAAATGTGCTATTAATGACTCATTCATATTTTAGCAATGTATTTCTTCCTTAGCAAAATTCTTAAAGGAAGGAAATGCCTAATGTAGAAATTAATGTATTTTTTTCTGTTGTTATGAAGGGAAATATTTTATTCTGAGTTATTATTCTACAACAATATTCACTTAGTACATACCTCATGGGTATGGATTTTTTTTCTTAAAGTCATTTACCTCTCTTCTGTCCCAAACTCCTGACAAAAATCTTTACTATTTGTTCATTGATTTATGTATACTTCATGGGTCTATATGGAGCTGAATTGTTTGTGTTGCAACATTGAGTTGAAAATATGTCAGAAATAATAATGTCTTTACAGTAAAAAAAATCTGCTGCTTAAAGAAATAATTGGCATTTGATAAATACTCCAGATTCCTGAGCTGCTAATTCTGAAAGGAGTTGATGTGTAAAGAAAAATTAAGTATTACAATCACTAAGGCTATTCAAAAGGAAGACAGGATAAAGAGAGAAGGAAAAAATAAGCTGAAGAGAAGCCAGGCTATCTGGTCAGTATTGACACTCTGAGTAGTATATATACTATGTGGGCAAAGTAAAAAAAAACAAAACCAAGTCAAATGTGGTATGTGTGTCTGTGTGAGTGTGTGTCTATAAGTGAATCAAGTTTTAAGGGTTAATTGCCTCAGAGGAGAATGAAAGGGCAGAACAAAAAGTGATTAATTGATACTTTTAAATCTGTGTCAGGCTAATAGAATAATGTGATATGCCCTCTGTCGTTTATCTAGACTGTGTATACTACAGTCCCCAAGATTTTGCTTCCATTGTATGGTAAAACTAATTACAGGGTTTGAATGAACTGAGTGACCTATGTTATAAGAACATGATGGACGGATGCCATGAGAGAAAAAGATGAGAAAGTTGTGAATCCCTAAGAAAGATGTTCTGGCCTTACTACTAAATTTTGAGTTGTTTTAATAATGAGAGCAGCATGTGACTTGTGGGAAGATTGAGGTAAAGGGGATACCTAAGAAGCTCTCTTCTTTGGTAGTTATTCTAAGAATAATTTTTTCTATAGCACTCCTACAGGTGTTAAGTGTAAGACCAAATAGAGGATTTTGACATTCATTTCTTGCTGATGAATGTGTCTAAGGATTTGTTTGAATTAGTAATTTGCATGAGTGTTAAATTTCAAAATGAACAATTTTATCTGATTTAAAAGTTCATCTTGTGTTTATGATTTTAAGTATTTTAAGACTGATTTCCTCTGCTGTGTGTATAATATGTTCCGTTGTGCTGTAAGACCTCTTATTTTACTTGTGGTTTCTCAATGGCAAATTGAAAAGCATTGTCAAATTTAACTTGATGTTTCACCATATTAAAAACATATCCAATGTGATATATCTTTTTTATACATATAGGAAGTTATTCTCTAGCATGATAACATAAATTTTTTTCTCTTTAAGTTAAGGGATGCATGCTATTTAAATTCCAAAAATCATTTATGCTGCTTCTCGTTATTTATGCTAGAGAGTTGACTTATGTGCAAATGAATTACTGTATATAACGTTAAGTTATATTTAGTTGTGTTCTTTGTAGAGGTAATTCTCAAAAATACTTTTAAATCCCCGTTGACTGTATGCTGAAGATGAAAAGTAAAACATATTACCATATTTATACTTTCAGTTTCTTATTGCTTCCTTATATACCATTTAACAGAAATAATTATTTGAACTCAGAAACATTTATAGAAATTATTAAAGCTGTTTAAGTATCAAAAGAGGAAAAATAACTAAAGAATGAAAAGGGTTAACAGAATTGAAAACCTGTTTGTACTACACTGTGTTCATGCTGATGATGTGCGTGGTATAGGTGGGTGTGTCATGTTTAATTTGCAGAAATCCTTAGGGCGTCTGGGTGGCTCAGTGGGTTAAAGCCTCTGCCTTCTGCTCAAGTCATGATCCCAGGGTCCTGGGATGGAGCCTGCTTCCCTTCCTCTCTCTCTGCCTGCCTTTCTGCCTATTTGTGATCTCTATCTGTCAAATAAATAAATAAAATCTTAAAAAAAAAAAGTTTAGGACCATCGTAGATATGTGTTATGTAAGTCAGATATAGGAAGAGTAGTTTAATTCATAGCAGAATTCTTGACACTAGAAATGCAATTTATAATGCAGGATACTAGTAATTTTCTTTGTCGTCAAACAGGGAAAGTTTATATTCTTTGAGAATTTTGTACAACCTGACAGATATGTAAGTCTTCTCTTTTTTCCCCCTTTATGTTACTCAGTATATTATAAATTGTTTCAGTGATATCCAGATTTTGAAAATATATTACCAATTTATAACCTCTTGTGATTTATAAAAAAGGATGATCAAATAGATCTTAATTCTGACTCCTAGATAAATTATGTATGGATCAAGAAATACTTTTTATTGTCCATTTTCTCAGTATTTCTTTTAATTGTCATAAAATAAAAATAACATAAAATTCACCATCTCAACCAATTTTAATTGTACGGTTCAGTAATGTGAAGTATACACAGACTGTTAGGCAGTCGATCCCTAGAAATTTTTCATCTTACAGAACTGCAGTGCAGTAACTCCCCATCCGTCTTCTAGTCTTTGGCAACTACTGTCATACTTTCTGTGTCTATGATTTTGACTTCTGTGGAAATCTCACATAAGTAGAATCATGCAGTATTTGTCTTTTTGTGGTTGGTTTATTTCACTTAGCATAATAGTGCCATGGAAGTTCTCCCATGTTGTAGCATGTGTAAGAATTCCTTTTTTAAGGCTCACTAATATTCTGTTGGATATATGTATAACACGTTTTGTTTATCTGTTCATCAGTGGACACAGCATTGCTTCTAGCTTTTGTCTATGGTGAATAACATGGATGCTATGAACATGGATATGCAAATAACTCTTTGAGACTCTGCTTTCAGTTCTTTTGGTTGTATAAACAGGAGCAGAGTTTCTACATCATATGATGACTCAATTTTAATTTTTGAAGAACTGCCATACTTTTTTTTTCCATATTGATTGCATCATTTTATATTCCCTCCAATAGTGTACAAGTTTCCAATTTCTCGACTTCCTCACCAATTCTTATTATTTTGTTTGTGTTTTTGTTGTTGTTGATAGTTCATTCTAATGGGTGTTCTGTGATATGTTCTTGTTATTTCTAATTGAACTTCACTTACTTCTTTACATTTTGTCTTTGTAATGATTTCATTGGAAGTCATCTAGAGATTGCAGAAAAATGTCTGTTATGAACTTTGGCGTATTGTGCAG